TTATATGGATAATACATTGAGCCCGTGCGAACGCAGATCAGATAGGAAGGTATTCATTAGATTACGAAGCATTGAAAGAGTTGTTGTTAAAAAAGACTTACATTTCATTTACGTTTCATGTTCGTTTAAACTAAGAGAGTTTAGAATTTCGAACAAATTTTGAGCCATTCACAATTGTTGAAACCCTTGCTGACGAAAAACAATTAACGGGAAACGGAATTTATGGGAACATGTTCCAAAATTATCTTTTGAATTAACGGATGATTAATGTCCTCACACTCAGAATGGTGATGTTGCTGCCTTTTCGAGCCAAAGGTCGTCGACGTGTCGGCGGCTTGTTTGTCGTATAGCGGGTTTGAATTTAAAATGAGTTTTAGGGACGTAAAGCAGTAGGGTAAAATTAATTAATAATACCTTAAATGGGTTATCGTTTAAGGTTATATTATTTCATTTTAATTTTTGACTTTAAGGATTTTTTGATTTCGTGCACAGACTATTTGTAAAAAGAAAAAAAAATAATTATAAAGCTTAAGCAAATATCTCGTCTTTAATTTAGTCATGAAACTATTTTTAGCTAGTTAATAGTGAACTAGGTACTACATTTTTCTATATTCTGTATTCATACTGTTGTTACATTCAAAGCTTTATTAATAAAAGTGTTTATTCATTCAAAAAGCATTTGAATTTATGAGTTAATTTTTAATTATTTAATTTTTAGAATAAATCGGCTACTAACATCTTCACTACATAGTATAAAACAAAGTCGTCCCGCTGTCTGTCTGTCCCTATGTATGCTTAGATCTTTAAAACTGCGCATCGGATCTAGATGCGGTTTTGTTTACGCGATAGAGCGATTCAAGAGGAAGGTTTATATGTACAATACATTGCACCTGTGTGAAGCCATTTTTAATTCCATGACGTCAGCCATGGCATTCACGTCAGCCATGCCAAGGATCACATCCCTAAGAAACTACGTCATTCGAGTCTTCATTCCAACCCATCCTATACTCAAAAATTTATGAAAACGTAGCCGAACCATGACACACGACGAAGAATGCGCCAAACCTCTGTTTAAAATTTGTAGGACTATTACAAAATACTCATGAATTCTGTTCTTGTACCGACGGTTTATACTCAAATTTTTCGAATTTATAATTCAAAACGCTAGACGCTTTTCGCTTGAGCCGAGCGCTGCATGCAACGAGTGAAACAAAAATTAAATAAAATGCAATTACGGCTCAAACATTGCGTGAGTGGGATTGCCTTAAAAATAAATCACAATATCCATGATATTTTTGAAAAGGCCAGCAGTGAATTTAGTATTAAAGGCTTTTTTTAAAGGAAAATAAAAGTGCGCACTCCACGCGGTCGGCAAAACAGGAATAGCTGTAATGGTTGAAGTTTGGTTGGAATAAATAAAATAATTGAAAGCCATCTAGAGAAAAGATCGCAGAATGAAAAACGTTTCCCCTTTCCTCCCTACTTTTAAAAAAAATTCTAGTTCTACTATAGAATACTATTATCCTGTGCTTTTCGATTTTTTAAGGATTTGTTTTGGGTGGTTCAAATTCTCGAGAATTTAAATTCATTATAGTTTTACCAAATGAATATGACCAGAACCTCGATTTAGTAAATGTATTACCACATTCAATACCGAAAAAAAGTGCATCCTCTGTTCTTGGTTAGCGTGGCGATATTAATGTATCGACGCAACAAGCTACTGCAGAACACCGTGAGACGAAGCGAATTGTAAACGTTTCGGAGTAGCGTTCAAAACGATGAAAGTTTCGTCGTTTTCCGTTTTTCCGAATGGATCAGTTCGAAAAGTGATCGATTCCAAAATAGACGCAACGCCGCACTAATAACAAATCATCCGGAACGTTCCAGGCAAGCTGCGGAGTAAGGTACGGCGGAATGGGAAATGTAAATGTTTATGCCGTACACTGCAAAGTTAGCCACGGTTAACATATGCATGGAGAGTTTGATTAATACATAGGTGAACATTACCAAACTACATTTGTATGAAGTAAACGCTATGTATGACGAAGTTTATATTTGTATGAGAAGGCGGCAAGCGAGCTAGCGGTTCAACTGATGTTAAGTTGAAAATGTTAACCGCCAATCGTAGGTTTTAAGATGCGAATGCAAAGGTTTCAGATGCATTGAGACCTTTTAGTAAAGTTTGTCCCATAACAGTAGTGTTATAACACAACTTTACGCCGGTCTTCTCTGCTCGTGGTTTACTTACCCGGACGGACCTGACCATTCTTGCAACAGCGAAGACTGTTGCGTGGCCGTACCACAGTCAAGTTAGTTTCTATAATATGTGGGATGGGCGTAATTGGAATGTATATAAAACGCATGTACCACACAAGATAATGTAGGTAACATAAACAAAAAACTAAGAAAACGAAGGTATTGTATTCAAGGGTTTTTACTGAACATTGTGTTAGCCACATGGTAGTTGTCACTCCCAGCATTGAACGCGACAGAATGACATGCAAACAGATTGGATAGCACAAGTGTACCCGCTGTAATAAAACGTGCGGTTAACATAAGGAAATTTAACCCAAAAGAACTCGACGTAAATGTGTTCGAACGAAATTTAGTAGCCAAAAACATCTACAGACATACTCGTACACAAACGGCTATTTTTACGATTGAATCGGAATTCAACGTAAGCAAACACAGTGTAGAAGTTAAAATAGCCAGCAACTTACGGGTTGACTTCAATAGTAAGTAGATGGCTACTTAGATACGTACTTAAATCCTTACTTCGCGCAGATTTTATAGATTCGCGTTTTTGTAACCTTATTCAGTTCCAAAACTATCAAAATTATTTTAAAGTCTCACAGCGAACTCCAATATCAGCTAGTGGTATAATATCCTCTGTGAAATGTACCTAATACTTTAATTTTAATATTTTTTATTTTAATTTTAGAACACAATTTTACACAACGGTCTTTAGTCCCCAACTAAGCAACGCTTGTACTATGGGTACTAGATAACTGATAAACATACTTAAACATACTTTTCTTTTGCAAATAAATACATATTATACATATATAAACACCGAGACACTAGAAACACACTATGCTCATCACAAAATATTTTTGAGTAGTTCGGATCGAAGCCACACCCTCTGACGCAGGAGGCAGGTACACTACCCACTACGCTATTCGGGTTGGGTACTATTAAGAAACATACGTCACATGTACTGAGATTGTCATCTCATGCAGGAGTATGAAATATATCTTTGTAAAGTTCGGCCCTCATTGCTGAGACATCAATTACTTATTTCTACAAGTATCAAGCCTACAAATAAGATAGTTGTAAAAACAGCTCAAGCCATCTCTTTTTATTTCGTTAGGGTCAAAAGGCGTGGAAGCTTGTTTTGTTGCCTTTCCGTAACGTAATAGGATAATGAGGCTACTTAATTTTGCTATTAATTAAAAATATTTAAATATGTTTTTAATGTGTTAGTCACTGTACTATCTACTATGTTATAACTGCTACATCATTAGTTGCGATACTAGTCAACCTAAAATAATTCGCGTATGGTATATAAAAAATAAAAATATGGCTGACTTGTAAAACCAAATGAGCTAACATAATTTTGGAGGAGATTTATGAATGCTATAATTAAAAAGATTTCTCTTATCCTTTAAACGAGTAATTCTTGTATATATATATAAGTGCGTAGGTTTGGGGGCGAAAAATCGATCTAGCTAGGTTTCACTTTAAGAAAATGTCCTTTTATCCCTGTTTTCAGTGAATGAAAAATAAAAATAAAAGTTCTTTTTTCCCTTTTTTTAAATTTGTTTCTTTTGTGAAAAACACCAGTTCATATTTTCTTATTATTAGGTCGGTAAGATCGAAAAATATTATGCATATTTCATTACTCAGTAAGATTATCATTACTAAGAGTTTGATGTTCGTAAGTGCTTGGAGTAAGATTAAATTTGAGAGATTTTTCAGCCTTTTATTGAAAAGATGATACATACGGGAACCACATTATTTACGAAATATGACTAAAAATTATATGACACGGAGAAATGAATATATAAGTTTATTACGGCCTCTTCAATGCTTGAGATGTAACATGTAACGTACTAGAAATCATATCACGGTATTCTGGTAATAATATCAGCGTTTCCGAAAGATCGGTCAATGAAAAAACGAACTTGCGCCAATGGTGGTAAACCGCAGAATCCTTCGACGACGGAAGCGGGACGTTTGCGTGCGTACGGGCTTTTTCAACCCAAGATCGCAGCGATCGACTTAGCGTGGCGACCGGTCGAATTTGGTCCGAGATCGCCGCATTAATTACGCTCAGAGGATGAAAAAAGACCACTGCGACCTCCAACGGTCCGTCGCGTTTCGCGTAACAGGTTTCGGAACGGTTCGGAGTGTCGGATTTGGTTCAAAACGCAACCCGACGAAGCGTAGGGCCGCCAACAAGGCGCAAAAACGCCTTAGACGTAGCGTAGTAAAACTGCAAAGATCTGCATATGATATCACGCCTATTTTTCTTGCACAAATGGGCAGGTTCGTCCGGGTAAGTGCCACGACGTCACAGAAGACCGGCGTGATGTGGAAGTACTCGAGGCCGCCTACCTCAGTCGTTGAGTGAGGTAACCGGCGTCCATTTTTTTTAAAGTTGAAACGCGTGTAAGAAGCCTTCAGGTGTTGCGGCCCACGGGTGGCGGTCGTCACTTAACATTAGGTGAACCGCCCGCTTGTTTGAGCATTTTTCGCATAAAACAAAAACCATACGTACAAGCCTCTATTTTACTTCCTGTTCAACGAAAAAAACAAAGTATATTATATTTTTCAAACTGCTTTGCACGTTCTGTACAGTTTCAGATTAAAATATTCTTCCAGAGCAAGAATAACTGTGACATAACTACAGTTAACTGTCGCTGGTCTTTTACATTATAGGTATAAAAGTAAACAAGACAAGCCATCAGTTTAATACCTAACACTGGCTTAAAATTTACCTTTTCTTCCTCCTCAAGTGCGCGTATTAGCTCGTAATACAGCATCTCCGCCTCTTGAGAGATCTGTATCTTCTCCACGTCGCAGCTTCTCCGCGAGACGTCGCACGGTAGGTCCGTTTGGAGATGCATCTTGGTTATTTAGATGCACATACGTCACAGCACTGATTTAAGGATATTTCCGCAAACACTTATGTGGGATCATAGTCCTTTTCAACGCACAAACGTCACAGCACTAATCAACTTAACGGTATTCCCGCGAACACGTATGTGGGGCCATAGTCCTTGACACTGTCATTGGTTTCAACTGTTGTGATAATATCGGTTTCAGAAGATCCGTTACGCTTCATACAGACGTAACGTACTCAATAAAGATTTGCACAGCATGTCCACTTGTGTACAGATGATCTTTAAGATAAATACTCGTAAATCATCTAGTTGGTCTCTGTCACCTCCTAATAAAAGTGACTAATAAAATTTAAAGGACACATTATTATAAACAAAAGACTCGGTTCATTATACTTTCAAACATATTACGTAATCGATGTTTATTCGGTTTCCGACCGCCAGCACGTTTAACGACAAATGCACTGTCGTACATAATTCCGCTTGCGACAATTTAAATTTCGCAACTCATTTGCACACCGCTTGCTTAACATTTCCAATTAAGGCAATTATTGCTTCACTGCTACTCCAACCTAAGCACGCTCCAAAAGTTGATTATGTACAATAATTCCTAATGTCCGGTGTGACTTTCAGTGCCGTTTATAAAATGTTTTTTTTTGGGAGGGAAAGATCGCCGGCTATCTCATAGAGTCAATTAATTTTGACTTGTAAGAATATTTATTACAAATTAAATTTTAATTTAGTGCTAGTCTCTGCACTTAGATGAAACTTAAAAGTTTTTAGATAAAATTGTCGCAAAATTTTTCGCCACCGCCAGAATTCGAAACTGCGTCTTCCTAGTTAGGCGTCAAGCCGTCCTGATATTATGTACAAATACGAGGTAGATATAGCACTAGAATACCGAAACTGAGGCACACAAATTGCACCAATTGGTGTAATTAGATTGAAATTCTATAGACTGCTATCTCTTCTTCTATCATACGTTCTATATATGCCGTATAATGTTAAGTGGATCAATTTTTAAACGCAGCGCAGTTTGTACATGCGTCATATATATTACTAAAATCATTGGTGGTCGGTGTTACACGCGGTGAGTATTTAGACAGCTTAGATTAGATTTAGTGGCTTTAGAGTCTGGCCGCGTAATACTTAGGTTCGAATCTTCGAAACGGCGACAAGATTTGCGACAGTTTTATTAACGTTTTTAAATTATTTAGTTGAAACGAATCGTATTTTAAAATTTTCGCCTTCGGTCAGCGTTCAGGCAGGTATAAATGCTCTTTACGATGCCTACCGTCTGGCCGTTCCTTTGCAGGCGTCTCGTGAAAATACATGTCGCAAACCCTTTAGTGCGTCTGTCAATTTAAAAAGCAATATATACTTATTAGCGGGTGCGGCGCACGCGAAACATTTAGCGATGAAGCGGGGCACGCTCATTTGAATGCAAGCACGACGACCCCACGATTTTTCGATGCTCGGGCGACTCCTGAATGCTGAGCGGGCACCTCACGTCTCATTTGATGAGAGAGAGAGAGAAAGAGATAGAGAGTAAAAAAAGCGTTTATATTGCAATTATTCGAGATTAGTTCTACCATACTAATGCCCAGAATGAGTCGCGGCGGCTCCATAAATGTCTATCTCGCTACCTATGTTTTTTTAGATGAAGTGTCATGAGATTCATCTAAATCGTGGCCACTACATAGGTTACAATAAAGGAATATAAGACATGTGTAATCACAAATTATCACATTTGTCTTATTTTATACATTTTACACATAAAATATATGTATTATTACCAGGGGAGAGAACAAAATTCTCTAATAACGGTACGTTTTTAGAATCCGCTGAAAACGTTAAACGATTATACAAAGTCTTGCACTTATCGAATTCCCTAACCTAACTCATAGTTAATGTTACTCCACATGGCAAAGGTAAAAGAAGCATAAAGAAAGAAGACAACTCAAGGCCAAATACCATCGTCCAATAAGACAATACTATTTAGCTATAGCAATAGCAATCCTTTTCTACACAAAGTAATGTTATACAAACAAACAATTCCTTATTATGAATATCAGTAATGTGATTAAATACTTCACACTTAATTTTTAGCGTGAAATAAATTTATAAAGAAAACTTTTTAAAAATTTTTAAAGCGTTTAATTTAAATTAAAATTCTCGACGCGACCGTTCGAACACTTTGCAGCATTCATAATATTATTACGGGTCGTGACGGAGCGTTCACATAATAATATGTTGTGATCGCGCAAATAAAATATATTGCTAACACGTGAATTATTTTTTTTTCTACTAGGTTACGTGCTTAATTGTACTCTATGTTCTCTGTTAATGTAACCGAAAATAAGTTAAAAAAATTTTTTTTTATTACTTCGAAAATATACAGGTTTCCTCACGATGTTTTCCTTCACTGCAGATCACGTGACGTGTCAACACTTAAAATCAAAAGTTTCATTGACTTTTTGACATTTATTTTTTTTTATGTTTAAGAAATAGAATTTCTTACGTGCGTACATAAGTATAATCTTGATGCTTAAAGTCCTAGCATGAGCATTCCCAGACCTAAATATATTAGATCCACCGGTATTACTAGTGAGCGTAAATCACACACTTTATTAGGAGAATACGAGCAACACAACGGGATTTACTGATGCTAGCCTCAGCTTAGGCCAATTTATTAATATACGGCTGGCGTCAGTCCAACGGACCACGGTTATCCAAGGATCTCTTTATGTAAGCGAGTAGGAAGCTAAATGGAGAGGCAGCAAGTTTTACTGGCAACGCAAGTCTTCACGGTTGCATCAATGGGCAGGTTCGTCCGGTGAAGTGCCACGAACTCACAGAAGACCGGCGAGAGGTGGAAGTGTTACACTTCCACGTTTCGTCTGGTGAGTGAGGTAGCCGGAGCCAGGATTAAAATGTGATAACGCTGTGCTGCAACCCTACGGGTATTGCAAATGTCCTCGGGTGGCGGTTATCACTTAAAATCACGTAAACCGCCAGCTCGCTTGCCATCATCTGATATATAAAAACCTTAACTTTAAGTTAAATAGTCACGCTGTGATTTCAATGCAATTCAAATATAGAAGGAGTTGGCTGATATAGTGTGATCCATGAATGTGTAGGCGGTGAACTACCACAGCCACACTGAAGGCTGAAGTCTGCTAGAAATGTTTGCTTTTTTCGTCTCACGATTGACGTGAACAGAAAAGTTAAGAAAGAGTAAAGAAGGCGAAACGCAAAGTTTCTGGCAGCCTCACCTACTGCCACATTGGACCCTACAAACCCACATTGCACACTGCTTTCAGTATGATCCGTAATTTGGAAAGGGGAGGTGGTAATTGCTTCTGGTTACCGCTCTAAAACATTTATACCCTGTTCTGGTTCACAGAGCGCAGTTTGTGTATGCCGCAAGTGTGTTATTTAAGCATAAAAAGTTTTCAACACTTTAAAAGGTAACCAAACTCAGCTAAAAGTTACGGATGCTGGGAGGGTTAATTATTAATGTACTACAACTGAATAGCTTAAAGTTTTAAGTTGTCCGTATCTAGGAATTGATACGTGCCTAAACAGCTGTCTAACATTTAAACACGGAGAGTATAGAATAGTTTGCGTCCGATGAAGCTTTAATAGTCTCGGGACTGAAAGCAAAAACATCAGTTAATACGTATAGAATAGAGAGAGAACAGATAGATAAGAGGTATAGACCGATCACCTAATAAAGTACAAGTTTAGTGAAATGGTGGCATTACCTATATCTTTCCACTCCGTTATATTCAAAGGGACGAGTGCATATAATAAACAGAACTGAATGTCTCTTTCTTTTTTTTTATTTAAGTGAGGACGGTGTGAGTTGAGACGATCTATCTGCCTGCTCTTTTTGCAGTGCGCGGTTTGAGACGGGCTTTAATTAGATCGTCCTGAATGTAGCTGTCGCTAAGCGCAATTTTGCAAGGATTCGAGATGAAAGGACCTTCTTGGATCTACCGTATCTAAGGATATTTAGATAGCTCTACATCATGCAATAGTTAAAATACAGTTGTTTATGTATTAAACCGATTTATTGAACTAAAATTTTATTAAAATATGGATATGTAGAACATAATTGAATGACTAGTCGCCGGTATATTTTGGTATATTAAAGATATTTTTCAAAGTTTAAATCACACTGGCTTCTTGACAAAGATAAACATAACACTAAATATTATTATACGAGTGTTATTACTAAAGTTGTTTCTACTTAAATAGCAGAATAGTGCAGAGACTAAAATCCAATTGTATTTTTATGTAAGACGATGATAAGCGAAAGGGTTTACCTGATTTCAAATGATAAACGCCGCCCATGGAATTTGCAACACACCTAGAATTGCAAATATGTTGCCTTTTAATAAAGTAGTCCCCGGTTATCCCACTCGCCAGACAAAACGTAGAAGTACGTCTAACACCTCACACCATTCTTCTGTGAGGTCGTGGTACTTCCCCGGACGGACCTGCCCATTCGTGCAACAGCGTAAACTGCTACGTGGCTTTGCCACAGTTAAAAACTAAAGTAATCGGTAAATAGTAAGGCCAAGCGATGAAATGAGAGATCAAAAACTTAGCGCAGCTTAGAATCGAGTGGCGAATGGCGTCCAACCTGCCATAGATCGAGTACTATAAAACCGACCGGCAGCGGAAGGCGTTGTTTTGTGAGAGGCGCCGGGTGCCGCGAATAGGCTTAAGGAATCAGAGCGGGATTTGAGCACGCGTCGCGAGTTGTGCCGTTATTCGACTAGGAAGAGGAAATGCATTACGTTAATGACCGTTCGGTATTTTGTTTCTAATGTACATACGTCGTGAAACGACATTTTTTGTCTCTGTCCTGGCCTTAAGGTGTCGTTTTTCGTATCGTGTTTCGTTCGTTCGTTTTTAGAAAAATTTACCACTTGAAGTTTCATCTTGAGTGTAGAGACTAGCACGTGCAAGTTGTGGGATTGAAATTGGGTGAAAATTTCCACGAAAATAATAAGTGCGGATTTTACACTCAGTTAAAGAAGTTTTATATACATTGTAATATTCTACATAGAGAGATATTTGATGACTCCGTATCCCAATTGCTAAGGTACTGGCACCGGGGGTCGTGGGTTCAATTCTCACACGGGACAACTATTTGTGTCACCCACAGATGATTGTTTCGTATCTGTGTTTGTCCACGTGATATTTATATATGGAAAAAGTCCTTACGGCACCGGATGATGTGATCCTAAATTAATGGGCAATGTATAATAAAAAAGAAAATACATCCTGACCTGACTTAATTCTTTGTTGCAAGTTCATATTAAAATTCCGCATGGGAATCAAAGCTACGATCCGCAGAGCTACATCTCAGTGTATGTAAATCAACGGTTGCGACTGAGGGTATTTGCCTTATCATGAGTATTGCACTGAGGTCTGGTTGAACTGTACTTATGTCTATGTATATGGAAAAACTTAATAACAAAAAAAATCATCGGCGACTGATTAAATTAGTAAATATGATTTCGTAGCACTCAAAGTAAACTAATGTTACAGTTAAATTTCTCAACATAAGCAACTCCTCGAAGTATTTCAAAATAATTAGCAGAAAAACATTTTTAACGCAGACTTTACTCCTGACAGGGCTGGAAATAAGTGACTGGTTCTGCAGTCGTTGTGCTACGCGGTAATAAACTTAAACTGGAAGGCAATTAAGAACAATATTGCGCGAAGCATTTCGTAGGGACTCACTACAAGGTTTGTTAAACCGACGTGACTAATTGGCAATTGCGACGCGACAAATACATCTTGTTTATTGCACATTGCTGCGTTCTCGAGCGCTTCTGAAGAGGATGTCTAATTTGGGCGTCATTGAATTCGGTGCGTAGCGATTAATATTGTACTATTTGGGTAAAATGTAAAGTGGCATTTTGAATATAGAATATAGAAATCTGTGTTATTGCATTTCCCACCTAACTGCACTCGTAGCCCCCAATTAGAGTTTAATTAGCATTAAATCCATTCATTCGTGAACGCACACCCGTTTGGGTTATTCAGTCGTTATTAAAACGCAATAAACTTTAATGGCCCAAATAACCTTATTTAATTAAATTCAATTACTTGCTTTTAATATTTAATTATAAATAAAGTTATAAGAATTCCTTTCAATAATGAGATAATGAGGAGTTAACGTAATTTATATACTTAACGGCATTTAAATCGTTTATATTATTAAAATATTCAAGCGTGATCAAAAAGTTAATTTTGAATTGAACATAAAGTTCTGTCATTTATTAGTAAGTTTTTCTAGATTATCACTAAGTGTCTTAATTCAAATAAAATATATTTTATTTATAGTATTAGGTAAAAACTGCCTGTTAATAGAAATTCACAAATAAAGGTCTGGGCAGTAATCCAGTTACAGTAAATACATTATTATTTAAGATGTATAACATTTACACCATTACATTCAGTATTCTTTTAAGTATGATGGATTCTCGTACTGTTTATAGATTTTTGGACAACTGAAAAGATGTTAAAAAGCTTCGACAGAATGTCCTCTGGTTTATCGTTCACAAAAACATATCTTACGAGGGAACTGAAGATAATTGGTTATTAAAAGCGATGGCAGCAAGTGCCAAAGGGAGTGGACGTAAAAAGCAGCCTGCGAGTAATGTCTTCTTTATTAAACCAGACTGTCTGAGAGAGTGCAATTAAAAATAAGCAAATTAAAAAAAGTTGTGGCCGGGTGGCCACATTGTCTCTTATTTAGTGTCCAGCGACAGGATTTAAGGAAGACTTAATTGCAAAACGATGGCGTAAATGTATTGTAGAGGCAACAGAAGAAAGAATAACAAAATATTGATCTGACGCAGTACTGACAAATCATGTATGATCTCGATCCTCAAAAGGACAGAACGACAAAGAAAAATGAAAAAGAAGAAATTTTAGAACAAGTCTAGGTATCCACTTCTCCGCCGAGAGGTATGAACAACGGTTGACTGTTATTGCTTTCAAATCAGATAAATGGTCTTTCAAAACAAATGGAGGCGTACAAAGAATAAATTAACTTTTTTATGTGAAAGTAATTATCAATATTTATACAACTGGTTTATTTAAATGTGTAGAGTTTGCAAGCGCAGAGGCGATTCACCTGATGTTAAATTTAATCTGTGGCCATATAAGCGACTTGCAGTTAGAGTTGCAGATCGTAGATAGCCTTCAAAACACTGCACCGGTTTCCTCACCCTCCAGACCAGATAAAAATATAACATTCACACTTCATCCTAGCCATCTGTGAGACCGTGGTATCATATTCTCCATTCGTGCAACAGGGAAAGCTGTTGCGTTGCCTTACTAGTGACAATGGTCTCTTAAGCAATAATCCGGAACCGTAGCTAACTGTAGATATATAAATATAAATATAAATATAAATATAAATATAAATATTTTTACACAACGATCTCTAGTCCCAAACTAAGCAACGCTTGTACTATGGGTACTAGATAACTGATAAACATACTCAAACATACTTTTCTTTTGTAAATAAATACGTATTATACATACCCAGACACTAGGAAAACACTATGTTCATCACACAATATTTTTCCAGTAGTGGGGATCGAACCCACACCCTCTGGCACAGGACGCAGGTACACTACCCACTACGCCATTCGGGTCGAAAAACTCCCTTGCGGGGAGCGAAGCCACGGCCGATAAAGCCAAAATCGTTTTTCACTAAACAGCCACTACATCATGGACAACCTTTGAATACTTCCGCAACGAGGTACGAGGGAACGTTTTCAATTCGGCCCCGCAGTGCGAAATAGATTGTTCTCCGTAAACGGGGCAGAAAGTGAGTTTCGTTTGAAACGAGTGGAAATAAATCGGCCGCCATTTGAGACGCGACGCGCCGCCCGACGACTAGTGATGTCCGCCTCGACCGGACCATATCGATAGAGTGAACACTGTAGGCAAATTAAATGTTTAACTTTATGAGCCAGCGATGCTGAAGGTAGTTAATTTATTTCGTGAAATATAAATGTAGAAGAATAAATGGCTTTCTATGATTGATTGATAAATTTGTATTAAAATGATTAAGGATAAATTTATTTTATACATAGGTTTAACAAATAAAAATCCAAACTCAGTACAAACTCATGTTCCCAAGATCAACCATAATGCGTGGCTAAAAATCGAATCTGCTTAAAATTCAGTTAGACGTGGACATGGAAACGTTGAATAGTTAATTTATTCGAAACACTTCTTTTACAAGTAAGTAAAAGATAGCGTCGTGTTAACTCGATTCGGATAGGTCAACTTTCTACTCTTTGGTTCAACAAAAGCTTTCCAAATGTAAATAAATTTACATCTCAAAATACTATTAATTAATAAAACGAGTACGAATTCCACCATCACTAGTGCAGGAACATCACTAGGCTCATTGTTTTGTATGCGATCGGCGACTCGAAAGCGGCGCCGCGACGTCCAAAGTGGGCACGAATTGGCCGCGTCTCCCATCTGCGACCCGTCAGCAGTCGCTCACGTGAGGGCCGAACTGCTGACGTATGAAATACTGCCTTTTGGGAAGTGTGTCTCTCGTTCTTGTTATTGATTGGCAGTCAGGGAGCGTGAAGCCGGGAGAGTTTTCATTACGGACGCTACTGCCTCGTCTTTCGGGATGTGTGAAATTTCTAGCAACGGTAGATAGGAAAAGATAGGATTAACGCCATAAAAGAATGACGATAATATCCACGAGGTATTTATTAATTGAATACGGTTTCAAGCCATATCGGTGTGCATTTATAAAAAAGAAACACACTGTAAATAACATTAATTCATGTTTCTAAACATAAAGTATTTATTATTTGATACACATCTGTCAAACTTGTCGACTATTATCATGATATTATATAAATGCAATATAAAACGGTAGATTTGACACTAGCGCACCGAAACTGAGGCAGTCAAATTACGCTAGTAGGTGTAATTAGATCCAAATCTCTATGTCATCTATGTCATCTGTTACAGTGACATATATTTATGTCATACTAGCTGCTGCCCGCGACTACGTCTGCATACAATAGGCTGAAGGCGTAACATTCAGACAGAAAGACATATACATAAAAATATGTGTATAAATTATAGCCTATGTTTTATGCTGATGTATAAGCTATATAATTGTAAAGTTTCATTAAAATCCATTCAGTTGTATTTGCGTGAAAGAGTAACAAAGATCCATTCATACATACAAACTTTCGGCTTTATAATATTATTAGTAAGGATAATGTAAAGCGGAACAATTTTTAAATGCCGCGCAGTGTGGCAAATTTTAAATGTGTCATCTTTATTAATACATCATAGCATGTTTAAGCTTTTAATAATTAATCAGAAAATTCTGAAATTTATAGCCAAAATGTAAATGTTTGCAGTTAAACAAATTATAGCCCCTTATTCATGAAGCATGTAGCAGTTTCCAGTACATTATTTTCCTTAATTCGGTTTTTTAGTTAAATCTAACAGATGTGACGGTCACAGAAGTTACTCAACAAACCTCTCTCCGACTTTAGATATGGGAACAGAAAAACATTTAACTTGATTCAACTAGCGTCCGGTAAATGTATTAATCGCGCGAACAAACATACGGGCATTGTTCGTCGTCGGTTCCAGTGTTCGGCCGCCGGAAGTGCGCGGTCCATGAGTCATCCCCGGGTAGGCCTAGCGACGCCAACCGCTAATGCCATGCTTTTTATTGCAGCCGAGATAAACGGGCAGTGTGACTCAATTCATCACGTATGCACTGTAGAAATGCTAATACTGTGGTAGGGTCACGCAACTGCGTTCGCTCCGTCCACGTACCACGACCTTACAGAAGACCGGCGTGAAATGGAAGTGTTATATTTCTGCGTTTCGTCTGGTGAGTGAGGTAGGAGGTATAAAGCATAATTATAAAAAAAATATTATAAAAAGCTCTTTACTCTTCAATTTCGATTTAGATGAAAAAAAAATCCTAATATCACTGTCATGTCAATGACCTAATTTTCCACCCGGTTGCCTATATAATGTACTCTTGACATACGTGTCATAATCTGTCATGTAACGAAAACGGATGAGTTAAACATAATGTGAAAAGGTATGTCGTCTCAAAGCTGTCTATGCTTACATGATAAAGGCTTAAAATTTTTTTTACTTAATTTTTGTTATGTTTTGTTAGAAAAAGATACATTGGTATCTATTTCTCAGTGCACTTAGATTACATAAGGTTGTAATAGTAGAGAGCCTAAGTTATTGAAAGTAGATTCTAAACTAAGTCAATATTGTATGTTACAAAAATAGTATATTTGTACTACTACAAAGACCAGTAGTAATAATGTTGATTAAAAGGTAATATTTACGTAATACTTGAGCCTGTATTAAAAGCAATAAACGAAGCGAGCTTTAATTGGTAAAAATAATTTATTCACAGAGGAAACTCTGTTATAGAGTATAAGTAAATCATAATATCTTCAAAGAATCACTACATGTAAGTTTAGGACTTACATGTAGTGAAGCATTTCATTAGTAATCTTTTAAATTCAAAGATTACTAATGAAAAATCCTATAAAGCCTTTCAAAGTCCTAAAAGGTTTCTTTATCTTTTCAGATATAAGAAATGTTATTTCCCCTAATCTAAAAAGCTTTCCTTTTCAACTTCTGACGGAGTCATAGGAATACCAAATATTTCGTGCAAGAGAATGGGATCAAGTGACCTGCCTTGTGAAACTTTTATGCCAAACAATGTACTATTCTACTTTATAACATGACATAATCCTGACTTTCCTTATGCTTTGCATACGGAATATTGTTAATTTTAATTCATCGACTATGAAACTCTCACGGTAGAGGGATTCATAACGAAATGATAACATCATAATATTATTGCCTTAAGCGCGCCTATGATTGCTTACGCGAGTAAATATGAACGTTGACGTCGGTTTATGTTGCTGATTAGTTTAATGCGGCATATTTTAGTATTCTGTCATCAATCGAGGTCGATACACCTTCACCCTTGAAGGGAGTTCATTAGCTTATGACACTAAGATATTGACTCTTGTGTGATTTTTTTTGTACGGAGTTTATTTATTTAATGAACGCCAGGTTCAGGTTTCATGACGTTATTTGGGGTTATATATTGTCGTTGATAAAACTTGACGAGGGATTTTATCATAATGCCTATTACAAACTAAATTGACCGGAAAGTATAAACTTTCCTCGAATCACGACGGAAGCGTTTCAGCTAGCTCTAGCGGTCGTTTTATGACCACATAAGTGGAGCGCGGATAGAAGGCAGAGGTCATTTTACCTTGGTGCCGTCAACAATGGCAGACCGGTTTCACTGCTGACAGATGACCAAGTGCAAGGCGCGGTCACGGTTGGGGTAGCATCGCTGGTGTGGAAGGTCGCGGTCTGTTCCGCGCAGAGAGAGAGAGAGACAGAGAGAAAAAGAGCAGAGAGAGAGGTAAGAGAGGGAGGGTGTGGCGTGATCTGATAAAAATAATACGTAGTATCAAACGCGATTTGCGAAAAATATGGTCGAAGAAGATATAGTCCTACGAAAATCTTGAGATAGAAGATTTAATAATTAAAATCCCTTAATGCAGTGTAACATTATCCTGTGTTGTAAGGACATTTTACAAACTTAAATTTCTCGTAAACAAACATCCAAAAGATTTTTTTGTGGGTCACACAATTAGTTGTCCCGTGTGGGAATCGAACCCATGACCCTCGGTGCCGAAGCCAATACCTTGGCAAATGCACCACAGTGTCATCAAATAAATTAAGGCACTGGTTTACCAAATATAACCAAGTGATATCTAGAGTGAACCATGCTAAGTCATTAAGTAGCACATGATTTGTGTAAAATACATGTTTTTAACACTAAAGATTTTCAAAGAGTATATCTCTTTTAAAAGATTGCGTTTTAAAAGATTTTGTTACCAATTTCTTAAAATTGAAAAAAGAATTGATAGTTTTAACAATTGTACATTATTATTAAAAATTAAATGAAAGTAGGTAGTTATATAAATAAAAGAAACTGTTAATGTTTATGAATCTGCTATCGGTAAATGAGCGTACGATTTTCATAATATCTATACTTACGTACTTGGAAACTATTCACGATTAATGAAAGCAGTCCTATCTCTTACCGAAAAGAATGTAAAAATTGTTTAGTAAGCATTATGATGAAAAGGTTAAACGTATGCTGTAAAACGAAAACAGGTACGGATTTTCTATTTGAAGCTTTTACCCTACCTCTGCCAATCCTGATTCTTTTAATAATTATCTTGACTTAGATTCTTAACGAAACATTTGAATTCAATTCATATATTTTTTTATTGTAACATATTTTTTTTTTGTAACATACTTTTTATTCTGCTTTTTTTTCTGTTTTTACCGTATTTTAGTTTGTATGTTTGTATTATTATAATGCTCGTATTTCACATTTAGTTTTGTAAAAGTTTTTTTGTTTTGTCTCTACTGTCTGTTGAAAATTTTTTACCTATAATTAAGGTACCACTCATCACTTTTTTGCAAACCTTGTTTATTTATTCTGTCACAGTGTGAACTTTGTTGGTGATAAATAAATAAATTCAAACGGTTTCAATTCAAATTGCAATAAAAAACAAAAGTTTCGTTTTCCACATAAAATATCGAACCACGAACAGATTCAAGTCAAACCTGCGTACTTATAGAGTTAATTATTCACTCACTTTCAAATTCGAACCATAAATAAAAGCTCGTATTCTAATCATGGCTCACGTAATATATTAAGTTGCAACGACAATTTTATTCAACTGAATATGTACGCAAGAATAAGCCCCGTTTTAAATCCATCTCAAGTGTATTCGACGGTCGGAAGCTATCGATCGAATGTGAGCCCTAACGGAAAGACATACGGACACGAGAACAACAATGTCACACGATAACGACATCGACATAAACAGGGATCGAAATACGATAAGCTCACCAAACTCCATTCTACCACAGAGTACTTATAATAAATCAACACGACACATTGGCATGCACACGAATTCGCGCCGAAACGTACACTATGCGAAAAAAAAACACACGTTGCTAGTAAAAGAAAAAATCCGCGCGGCGCCGGCTCGACTCGATATCGATGTTGCACTCTCCCGTCGATTATTTACAATCGCGTCGTTATGGCGGCTATTGAATTTGAATCGATCGCGCGCGAATTAATTTATCGATATTCGTTTCGGTGTCGGTGGTGCGCGCGCGGCCGCCTCTAGCGCCGACGCCATGACACTGCCCGAGTCGAATGCAAAAGCCGGCTCTGCGCTGGCGCATGTATTTACATAATCTATATTATACGCGCTATGGAGCGAACGCGCGATTTGAACGGTATGCCGCCATGCTATCGATGTTTGCGTTTCAACAAAGCACGCGATCGCAACCCTTTTTTATTATGATTAAAAGAAGCTATGACACGGAGCGATTTTTTAAATCGATGTCGATTATTGAAGTGTTAATAACCCGTACGATAAGAATTGATGAGACTCGGTACATTATCGTCAGTTTGTAGAGCATTGTATATTAGCTGATTTTCTTGTGAACTATTTTAAAATCCCTCCCCTTCCCGTCTCAATGAACGGTACTAAATACTTGAATCGTCGAAAGTTAAAAGTAAAAAGTAAAAGTCTATAAAGTAGTTGATTAAAATTTTAAAAGCTACATCAAAGGCATTTAGTTTTTATTATCAGAAGAAATTCGAGGTATACAAATTATTAGTATTTACATCAAATAGTATTAACAAAGGTCGTATACGTAAATCCCTGTATTGTACTATTTTACTTCCAGTTCAAGTTACACTTCATAATGTCATTACGTTAGGTATATCTGAAAGTGAGAATAATGTACCGTCAGTCAGTGAGGTCAATATGAAAGAGGATACTGTAACAAGATATGTCACAGCGACGAAGGATAATGCGAGAACTGATGGATAATCAATAGATTAATAATTATAAATTTTTCATTATAAAAACTAGTCAGCGAAATGTTAAACCTAACTGGGCGAATGGAGACTGACCCAGGTACAGAAAAGTGGTTAATCTAATACAATTCCCATTCTTACGCTACGAACGCAGTAAATCGATATGACACGACTAAGCTGTAAAAAAAAAAAAACTGTGCGTGATAAAATTCGTAACACATTGCAATTCAGTCTAAAGTCGCATTAAAATAAAAAAAATGAGTTTGCTATATAAAATAATCAAATACATATCGACGATTCCGTCCAGAATATTAATGAGCCTGTACCAAATGCCATTGTATGACATAGCTTTAGGATGTTCTAAAAATATCGATGTTTTGTAATGTCGATAATTTTAGAACATCCTTAACGGCCGAGTGTTTCCGCTGCAAATGCACACGCAGAAATGAACCTTTCCAGTGCATCCATTGATTTGACTGACGAATAAATTAACGGCGCATTACGCTCATCAATCGAACTTCGATTGAAATGACTTGGAACATTATAAATAGTGAAACAGGAAAAACCAAATCACGTAGGTCTGACTACCAACTCAACATTAATAATAAATTTATAACGACTAATCAGGAGGTAGCTGAAGTATTTGAGAAATTCTTTAGTGAGATTCCTACTTTAACTACATTGTCGCTGAATTCTTCTCCTGCTGTTGCCGAGACATTACTTAAGGAAAATGTAAGTGCTTGCACCACAATCTTTAAATTTCAGGCTGTATATGCAAAAGATATAAAAATGTTTAAGACCATTGAACTTAAGAAAACGGCAGATCTATGGGGAAATGTCCGTTGAAGTGACTGCCTCAATAATAGATTCAATCACACCTTATTTGTCAATAATTTTTAACAGTAGTGTAGATTCTGGCGTATTTCCTGATCTCATGAAACACAGTAAAGTCATACCTGTATTTAAATCCAGTAGTACTTCGGACCCCACTAATTTTAGACCCATTTCTATACTACCAACACTTAGTAAAATTTTCGAAAAACTTCTTCTAGATCAGCTGTTAACACATTTTAACTTAAATAAATTATTACATCACAACCAGTTTGTTTTTACAAGGGGTCGTTCTACAACCGATGCTGGTGTAGAGCTGATCAAACATATATTTGAGGCTTGGGAGAGTTCACAGAATGCTCTGGGTGTCTTTTGTGATCTTTCCAAGGCTTTCGATTGCGTGAATCATGAAACACTGATCAGGAAATTGCGCCATTATGGCATTAAAAGTACCGCGCTTTACCTCATTAAGTCATATCTATCTAATAGAATTCAAAAAGTTGTAATTAATGGTGTTAGTTCTTCTGGGTCGACGGTATCTATGGGCGTTCCGCAGGGCTCGATTCTCGGCCCATTTCTCTTTCTCATTTACATTAATGAAGATCATTACTTAACACATACTTACTTTGTAGGGAGTAAACACGATATAGTGTTATTTGCCGATGATACATCATTAATTTTTAAAATCGATCGACAGCTTGTTACACTTGACGAGGTAAATATTGCTATGTCAGAAATAGTCTATGGGTTTAATACTAACAATTTACTATTAAATGGTAATAAAACTAAATGTACACAATTTTTATTTTGCAAAAAAGGGCCATAAGAACTATTTATAATCTATGAATGCATCTTTGAGAGAGAAGTTTAAAGAAATAAATATATTAACCTTAGCCTCTCAATATATATATGAAAATGTTATGTTTGTGCGTAGAAATATTAATAATTTTGATAAGAATACTGATATACATAATATACTAGGAACAAACACAAGCTTGTAATGCCAGTTACTAGACTCCATAGAGTAAGTAACTCGTTCATGGGGCGGTGTATACGCTTTTACAACAAAATCCCAGTAAATGCGCAAAACCTGCCTATTAACAGGTTTAAGAAATTTATTAAAGAAAAACTTTATAAAAAGGGTTATTATAATACAAATGAATACATTAATGACAATAACCCCTGGGAATGAGTTGATCGCTCCCAAGCTATTTCTAAAAGGAAAAGAATCAGTTGTATAATATTTGAATTTTTTGTTAAGAAAAAAAAATGAATTACAAAAAAGAGGATACCTACGGAGTTTCTTTCGCCTGTTTCTTCTCCGCTAGAGGAACCTCATTAAGAAACGGTGGTAGATTTAAAAAAAAATGTGACTATTGATAAATGAAATGTAAGTTTCTTATGTCGATGAATAAATGATTTAGATTTTTTGATTTTTGATTTTCGATATTTTATGCAAAAACTCCCGTCGTATAATCTAACGGACATATAAATAACTAGCACTGCACACGTTAAACAAACCTTACTAAGTCCGATAATGATGTTTTATTTAAGAGATAATATAAATAAATATATCATTACAACTTTCATATGAGATGCTTAAACTTATCGCTAGCGATTAATAAAATACAAAGTGAATATATTTTATGTAATATAGCTCAGTGTCCATGCGCTCGTATTTAATTCAATTTAGAATTTTTAAT